TCTAATCATGCTATGAATTTCATTTTGAACAGAGAAAATTTAAAAGGTGAAATCACACAGGGAATGGCAACATGGGAAGCAAGCATTCTCCTTTTCTAGAGTCCCGATATAGAAATTAGAATTTCATAATTGTATTGACATACATAGGTTCTTTAACTGAGAAATCTAAGATTAACAGTAATGCTAATTGATGGTTATTGTCTATTTAAATCTCATATTGCAGTTACTTAGTCTAGGTAACAAGGTGTGGACTATAATTTTCTTTCCCTTTTACTAGTAACTTACTACGTAATTCTGGGGTAAAGCTCAAATGGTTCTAGTTTTGAGACTATTCAGGTACCTGTGGGGGCTTCCCTGGCCTTTTGAAGTATCAGCTTCAGATTTCACCATGTAGGTATCCCATGGTGACTTGTATAGGCAAAACCACAATTTCCACAATGCCTTTGAAACAAGAGCAAAAGTTGTAATAATACTAAATGCGTAGAACATCATGTGTAATAGCCCTTCAATAACTTTTTGTTTAATTAAATGGAATTATTATAAACATACGAATTATAGTAGAGACCATATGCTTTTTCTAAGCCTATGGTAAAATAAAGACATTTTTCAGAGAAAGATCTATATTTTAAGTCTCCATTTTTACCCTCATAATTATGATGTAGGATTAGAAGAAGGGGTGAGCATTCCTGTGTACCAAGCATGGAAACATAATCCAGTTATGAGACCACCCACTGGAGCAGAAGGTTGCATGTTGCTGGCAGAACCAGAGCAGAGAGTCCTGGGCGACCTTATGAGATGTGGTCATAAAATGATATTGCACTATATGTACCTTCTTCCACTCTAGGAATTCCCTGTCCTGGTAACCTGCAAAGTTTTCCCAGATAATCTTGGAGATCTGTCCTATTTGACGGCATAATTCCCAGTTTTCTATTTTATTTATCAGAAAATTTGGTAGTGAGCCTGGGCGCATTGTCTCACACCTGTAATCCCAGCAGTTTGGGAGGCCAAGGTGAGAGGCAGAAGGATTGCTTGAGCCCAGGAGTTTGCGACCAGCCTGGACAATGTAGTGAGATGCTGTCTCTACAAAAAATTCAAAAATTAGCCAGGCGTAGTGGCACACGCCTGTAGTCCCAGTTACTTGGGAGGCTGAGGTGGGAGGATCGCTTGAGCCCACTGGAGGCTGCAAGTGAGCCTTGATTCATGCCACCACACTCCAGCCTGGGCTGCAGAGTGAGACCCTGTTTCAAAAAATAAAACAGGAAATTTTGGTGATGGACTTCATCTAGGCTCTGCCACTTCCTTGATGTCACCAGTTCTCTGTAGCCTTGGATGAAGTAAATAAGATAAACATGGTGTGCCTGACATATAATGTGTGATAAGTACATGGTGATACCATTTCTCTGTGAGACAGTGCTTTCATGTCAGCCATCTGTGACAGTTCCTCAGGTTATACTGATTCCAAGTTGATTCTTTTCCTAAGAGAAGGACTCCAAGCTGAGCTTCAGGAGGTGTTTTGGTGTTACCTCCTGTGAGTTTGTTTTTAAAGCTTTTTAGTTTTGACCTGCCCTTTTGTGTTGACATCTGTTTTGTGTGCTTTTCCCCCAAATGAGGTATTTTCCAAAGTTGTCCTGACATTGCAAGATAGGGCCATGTAAGGCTAAGCCATAAGCTCTTGGCGGGCAGCAGTTTTATTTCGTTGGCAAGAGTGTGGCGCAAAACAGGTGTCAGTGAAATGTTGGTTCCCTTTGGAATAATTGATATACTGACTTTGCCTATTTTCTGCTCATCTTCAAAATGGGTGTTTTCGAGTACATTTTGTTTTTGGGATCCAACAAAAGGCAAATATTAAATTATTTTAAAATAACTAAGGTAAAGCCCCAGGACAGCAGTTAAAACTGAGAGTCCGAATACACTGAAGCTTTGTAAAAAAACAAAAAAAACCTTAGGAAGTCCGTGAACATTTTAAAGGTAACTGAGGGTGCATAGATCATTTTAACATCCTCTTTCAATTGTTCTTAATCCAGAGCCTCTCTTCTGTCTGTGTCTCCATAGTCGGGAAATGATCTTTTTTGTTTATTTGGTGAGGTTATTGTCTGTTGTACAGCATATATAACAAGCTGCCAGAGTGATCATTAATAACACGGTACAGTCACATCTTCTGCCAAAAGTAGCCTTTTTATAACTATTGGAAAAACTGTGGAAAAATGGCACCAACCAATCATGGGTTTTGCTTATTACTAGGTTGGCTATGACTTGGGAAGAGGATGGGCAGTTTAGGTAAAGCCAGACTTTTAGGTCTCAGAAGACAGATCTAGAAAACAGACTTGGGTTTTAGATTGGTTGACTTCTAAGGTACTCACCTTCCTTAAAAGTTGTCTAGGCTAAAAAAGTTGAGAAGGGCCACTCAAACGTTTTTGGTGCTAAATGAGGACTTGTCTCACCAAGATTTTTGCTTTTAAATACATCCCACTCTGTTTCCACTGGACCCGCAGTCAGACTGGTAGGGCTTAGCCCTAAGAGTGCATATCTCAGAGGAGGAGGAGCAGACATGGGGATCTCATCACAGAGGAAGGGCTTTGAGCAGCCATTCTCCAATGGTCCAAGGCTGGGTTTGTTTTCACACTGATTTTGATTTTTATTTTTGAGATGGAGTCTTCCTCTGTCGCCCAGGCTGGAGTGCAGTGGCATGCTCTCAACGCACTGCAACCTTCTCCTTGGTTCAAGCGATTCTCCTGCCTCAGCCTCCAAGTAGCTGGGATTACAGGCGCGTGCCACCGCACCCGGCTGATGTTTTTTGTGCTTTTAGTAGAGATGGGGTTTCACCGTCTTGGCCAGACTGGTCTCGAACTCCTGACATCGTGATCCGCCCGCCTCGGCCTCCCAAAGTGCTGGGAATACAGGTATGAGCCACCGCCCCCGGCCGACACTGATTTTTATTTGTGTTACTGCTCTCTGGAGATACATCACAAGATTTAATAAATGTTTTTTGGTCTGCATTTATGTGATGCGTGACCTGGTGATTTGAGTTCCACCATTACCTTTTTTTGCTTTCTGATTATGTACCATGTACGTAAATCAATAAGGAAGAGAATGCAGAAGCAGCTCTGTTTAACATTTCAGGGGTCATGGAGTAATGCTCTCTAAGATATTTATATCTTCCTGAGAAGATGTCTTTTCCTTTTTGACATTCAGACGAGTTCACTAAGAGATTCATCACTAAAGACAGGGGGAGGAGTGTGAGGGGGGAATGAAAAGACATTCCCTGCCTCCCCCAGTAAATTTCTAGATGTCTTTCAAAAGATAGATAGCAAAGAAGAAAACTCAAGAGTTTTTATTTTGAATAAGTCATTTTTTTTAAGGCATTGAAGTACTGAGCCTTTTCTTACCCAGGATCGTAACAGTCAGGGGAATGTGGATATATAATTAAAGGATCCCCAAAAGCAAAATCGACTGTTGGCTTGCAGCTTCCCGTGAGTTCCACAGCTTCTCATACCTCCCAGGTTGTAGCCTCTCTCTCCTCCTTTCTGCCTCCTCCATCCTGACTTCAGCCTTGTCAGAACCAAATCACTTCCTAAAGGCCCCACATCTTAATACTGTAGTGTTGGGAATCAGGTTTCTACTTCAATCTCGGAGAAGACACTTGCAAACGGTAACAGAGGAAGCTTGCTCAGTGGATTCTTAAGTCAAGATGCCTTCTCTAACACAGATCATCACTCATCTATTGTTTTTTCAGGTTTGGTAGTTTTCTTCTCTCTTTTCCCTCTTCCTCTCCCTCTCCCTTTCCCTCTCTCCCTGCCCATTCTTTCCTCCCCTCTCCTTCCCTTCCGCCCGCCCGCCTTCCTTCCTTCCTTCCTTCCTTCCTTCCTTCCTTCCTTCCTTCCTTCCTTCCTTCCTTCCTTCCTTCCTTCCTTCCTTCCCTCCCTCCCACCCTCACTCCCTCCCTCCCTCCCTCCCTCCCTCCCTCCTTCCTTCCTTTCTTCTTCTCTCTCTCTTTTTCTCTCTCTTACTTTTTCTTTCTTTTTCTCTTTTTCTTTTTCCTTTTCTTTTTCTTTTGGTAGAGACAGGGTCTCCCTATATTTCCTGGCTGTTGAACTCCTGGACTCAAGCCATCCTCCTGCCTGGGCCTCTCAAAGTGCTGGGATTATAGGCATGAGTCACCATGCCTGACCTTGATAGTTTTATAGTGAGGTATTTTTTAGTGGTCTCCTCTCTATAGCTGATGATAAAATCTGTCAACCTCAGTTGCATAGGGAGCTGTGGTGATGTGAGCACCCACAAGGATAACAGTGGGTGCAGCCATTGGACCACCGGGAGCAGAGTGGGTCCAAAGCCTCCGTGGGTGCTAGTTAGAAGTTCTGTGTGCTCTCCCGCTGATATTGCTTACAAACCTACTGTCGCAAATTTCTAGACAGCCCCGGCAGCTGCTTTTAGGCAGTCAGTGATAATAAACAACAGTTAACTGACGACATGGTTTTGTGCTGGGGGCTAGTGTCCCTGTGAGGGGTGGTGGTAAGGTTGGGAAGCTCTTGCTTGTGCTGGAGGCCATTTCTGTTCTAACTCTCACCCGCTTAGGTCTTGCCTGGGAAGGTTGAGAAGGCCCTCGAGTAATCTAGGAGCCCTTCAGGAACCTCAGGAACTCCTAACGACTTGAACCCCGAGAGCTGTTACATCATCCTAGGATCATTTAGATGTTGGAAGGACTTTAGTGATGAAAGTGACTTAGGCTCTTATTCCCGGCTTGTCCCCTGCCTGTACTGCTTGCAGCTTTCCTCCCCGAGCTCACTGGAAGCTCTCAGAGGGCAAGGCAGGGTCCCTCCCTCTATAAGCAGCATCTGGTCTACTACACCGTGCTTGCCAACTCTCTGAGAGTTGCTGTGAGAGTTTAAGCCACTTGAATGCAAGACCAGTCTTATTTCGTCCAGTTTATTTCCCTGGAGTACTCAGCATAGTTTCCTGTGCTTTGTAAGTAATAGATAAACAGATGTAGATTGACTAGTATCCTTCCCCTAGGCCCAGAATCTGAACCTTATCTTCTGTACCCACAAGACACTGTGCCTTAGATATTTAGGTCTGCAGTTTGAGGTGGTTGTGTGGAATGTGGAGGGGGACCCCACAGAGGGGCTTCCCATTTCTTTTTATATGATGGAGGAGTGATCTGACAAGGAAGACCGTCATTTGGTTTCATCCGTATTAGAGTAACCGAATTTATTTTAATTCCAGTATAACAAAAGCCAAAATAAAACAAACTGTTATTCTGTCACTCTAATAAATTTGCTAACATAGTCTTTTCCCTGCTTGACTGGAAGCACCCTAAATTCTATGCAGCATCAATCATTGTCCTGTTATCACAGGTATTTTCTACATTGCCATGTAGCTTTGTTAGTGGTACAGCATGGTGGTATTATAGCAAGGCATGGGCCCTGGAGGCACATATGCCCAGGTAAGAGTCCTGCTCCTGGCACTTGTTGGCTTTGTGACCTTGGGCACAATACACACATATGCATATGCGTATGTCCTTGTCTACACCGGCACCTGCATCTGTGCTTATATTGATTTGCTTTCGAGATGATGTCTTGCTCTGTTACCCAGGCTACAGTGCAGTGATAATGATCGTAGCTCACTGCAGCCTCGAACTCCTGAGCTCAGACCATCCTCCTGCCTCAGCCTCCTGAATATACCTAGGACAACAGGTGCACACCACCATGCATGGCTAGTTTTTTATATTTAAAAAATCCATGTAGAGACAGAGTCTTGCTATGTTGCTCAAGCTGGTCTTGAACTTCTGGACTCAAGCAGTCTTCCCACGTCAGCCTTTGAGTCAATGGGATTATAGGCGTGAGCTCCAGCTATGCCTATATTTATGTATTCATACACATGTGTATAATTATTCTGCTGATTACCACTTAAATTTAACTGTAACTCTTCGCCATTTTGTGTCAAAAAAAACTACATTTAGGCTTATTGTACTGATTAAAATCCTAATTGGGCCATATGTAGTCTAGCTAAATAGATTAGTTTGCCAGGGCTGTCCCCTAACAAAATACCACTAACAAGAATGTGTGGTCTCACAGTTCTAGAGGCTAGAAGTTCAAGGTCATGGTGGCGGCAGGGTCGGTTCCCTCTGAAGGTTGTGAGGGAAGGATCTGTTCCAGGCCTCTCTTGTGGCTTGTAGATGGCCGTCTTCTCCTGTCCTCTTTACATCATAGTTCCTGTGTGTCTGTGTCCAAGTTTCTCCTTCTGATAAGGATAACGGTCATTTTGGATTATGTCCCACCCTAATGACCTTGTTTTAACCTGATTGCCTCTGTAAAGGTGCCATCTTCAAATAAGATTGCAGTCCGAAGTCCTGGGGGCTAGGATCTTAACATTTGAATTTTGGAAGAAACACAGTTCAGCCCATAACACACACTAAGGTAGGTGCTCTGTTGGAGGAAAGATGAATATCAATTTTATAGATACTGGTGCTGATCGATGACACGTGACTGTAGCTCAGATTCCCATGGTTGCTGCCCCTCTCCAAGTCCGGGAATCCTTTAGTCCTGCTGTTTCTCTGGGAATTTTTCTCTCTTGTCCCTGTCTCTCTCTGATTGGTCTGTGCATTTCTTCTGTTATTTTTCCAGCTTTATCTTAAGTTTTAGGTTTGTTTTTGGAATTGTTTTCGAAGAATAAGTCCAGGTTGTGGAGATAACAAATGTGACATTATCTTAAAACAGTCCTTTAAAATACTGTCCTGAACTGTGCTACTGGGAATTCACCGTTTCGTGTCATCTGTCACAGGGTCATTTTGGTTTCTTCCTTGTGCTTTTGATGAAGTAACATGTATGTGTACAGACTGCCATTTGAATTGTTTTTTGCTATTTGAAAATACAAATCTTATAGCCAGGTACAGTGGCTCATGCCTGTAATCCCAGCACTTTGGGAGGCCAAGGCAAGCAGATCACGAGGTCAGGAGATCAAGACCATCCTGGCTAACAGGGTGAAAACCCGTCTCCACTAAAAATAAAAAAAAAATGAGCCAGGTGTGGTGGCACGTGTCTATAGTCCCAGTTACTTGGTAGGCTGAGGCAGAAGAATTGCTGGAACCCGGGAGGCGGAGGTTGCAGTGAGTCAAGATCATGCCACTGTACTCTTGCCTGGGTGACACAGTGAGACTCCATCTAAAAAGAAAAAGATAATACAAATCTTACTCATAACTCACTGATGAAATTGCTAAGACGTTGGATCTGGCTTTATTTTATTAACTATAGGAAAGTGTTACATCACCAGCATACTTCAGTTTAGTTAATAACCTTTTTATAATTTGGGTTCCATGTGGTAGGCAGTTCTAAACACTTGGGCTTACAAGCACCAGCACACGGCTGCTCACCAAGCATGTCCACACGGCTTTCTGTAGTAAAGTCTAGTCTAGTCCTTTCTTCTGTCATTTCTGCCGTCTGTAGTATATTTTAAAATTTATGGTAAACATTTGTCTTTTCTCTGCCTCTTTTCTGTAAATCTGGTTTATTGCCCATGCCAGATCTTTTTTCTCCCGTTCATTCCTTTATCAGTTCTGTCTCTTGTTCTGGTCCCTTGCAGTTGGAGTCCTGGGCAGCAGGATGGTTCTGTGGGTATATTGAACTATAAAACCTAGAATGATTATTGGCCTTCTCAGTTGTTAATGCATATTCATTCAGTTAACCCATAAATCAAACAGCTGATACCTATCCATTCAGATTTCATTATTTCCTGTTGTTTTGGTATCTTCTAGATTGCTCTGTAAAAATACTGATGGCAATGATGATCGCTTTAACAGAAGGAAGAAATTTAGCTTAATAAAATAATCTGAAATAAAAAACAGAAGGGGTTTCAAGTAGAAAAATCCTTATTGCATCCTTATTTATAATAGGGAAAACCTGCTAATAGTTGATACATGCAAAAAATACAGCTATTAAATTGTGGGGCCTTATTTACATTATTTATTAAAAACAATGTACAGAGTTTGCAGTACAGTGGGAAAATATGTAGTTAGAGTAGGGAGAGCTTAGGATATAGAATTATATACAGTGTGTAATCTCAGCTACATAAAGTATGTATATACATTAGCAGGAAATGTGGCCAGATGTTAGCGGTATTTATCTTTGGGTGGGGTGGGGCCAGACATGGAAGTCTAGATTCAGACAGACCTGGCTTAAACCTTCCTTTCCTTTTGTGTTAGTCTGTTGCTTACGAGACATAATCTGTATTAAGCCTAATTTATCTGGGGTCAATAGGATCTCCCTCACCTAATGATTTTCCAGAATCATTAGGTGAGTGCTGAGTTCAGTGTATGACATACAATAATGCAACAAGTGAAAGTTCAGTTATTAATAAAAACATTATCAATAAAAACCCATTTTTTCCCATTTCACTGTATTCCTGGCCCAAGCACTGTATTGATTTCTCTATGTTCGCTTGCGTTTTAAACAGCACACATTAGAAGGCAGAACCCCCCAAATCCATGGCTTTGGTCAAGTTCACATAACTGTTCTGTTTGGATTGTCCTGCTTGGGTGAAGTCTAAACCCCTTAGCATGGGGTTATGTTGAAGATTCAGTATCTTAATATAAAAAGGGCTTAGCCTCGGTGCCAGGCACATAATCACTTACACATGTTAGCTGCTATGTACATAAAATTTTAAAATATGTGTATAATTTAACTGAAACATTGCACGTTTTTAGGTATAAAATGGGGGTGATCTGGGCATGAGTGGTGGTAGAAAATGAGGACCCTTTGGAAAATCTTGTTTGGTCTGTGACTGCTGGATTGGTAATGCGATGATGCTGATGAACTTTGAGTCTACACAAATGGAAAGTTTAGGCAAGTTTCTTGATTTGTTTCATTTCTCCAAATATATGCCAGATTTTATAGGCTAACCACCAAGGGTCAGCAAAAACAGGTAACCATATATGGTTAATGGATTAACATAGATAAGTGGCAAAAATATGTTTTTAATTTTCTTTCATTTTTTCTTCAAAATCAAGAAAAATTTGCCCAAGTCAAAAAATGTGCTTTGTTGCCTTTTTGAGTCATGCATGGTGTGGATTTTCAGCCTTTTCTTCACTGGTCCTTGCAGGGGAAAGAAATGGAACTACAAACCGCAAGACTCTCCCATTTTTTAGGTGAAAGCAAACATGATGATGTAGATTTGCTCGGTCACCTGGCAGCCCAAATCCATGCTGCTTTTAGTAGATGTTCTTCAGTGGGGGCCACACTGTCTCAGTATCAAATTAAGCACAGCATAGAGAGAGTCAGCTTGAGAAGGAAATCGTGTGCAGTTCACCTCACTCATTCTTCCAGGTTCAGTCTGGAAGAAAACACTGAATTCCCTCCCCATCACTGCAGATCAAAGCTCCCCCCACCCCCAGTTGAAAACCAAGTATATCTGTGCTCATCACAGTGGTGTGTGCCTTAATGACAAAGCTCGTGTTGCTCGGCCTCAGCAGGAGCCTGCAGAATATGCCTTCCTGAGATTTTATAGGCTAATCACCAAGGGTCAGCAAAAACAGGTAATGGGATGAGTTATTCCCTGTTATCTAGACAAATGGTAAATAATTCATAGTTCACCTGGTCTTGACCTTCACTTTTATTTTTCTTCTATTTTTTTTTCTTGGACCTGACCTTTTATATTTTTATTGTATCTACTTTTGTAAACAGCCTATTTTCAATCATTTGAGTTAATGTATAAAAGAATTCAAACTCAGAGTTCAGTTCAGAGCCGGCTTCTTTCTGAAGCTCGTAACGAGGGGAGGAAAATAGCAGATCTGAAAGGTAGACTCCAGAAGGACTGAGATGTATCAGTGATTTATTCAGCTGTCTTGGCAACCACAGGGGAAGAGTGAGATTGTTGGAGAGCTGACACAGCCTTCTTACGGCTCGACAAAAAATGACAATAACTTCCACACACAGGCCAGGATTTCACGTATCTTCCCAGAACCTTTGTTTTTATCTATGAAAGGGGGTGCAAAAAAATCCAAAATCTTTTTTTTTTTTTTTTTTCCTTTTCTTGAGATGGAGTTTCACTCTTGTTACCCAGGCTGGAGTGCAATGGCGTGATCTCGGCTCACCGCAACCTCTGCGTCCTGGGTTCAAGCAATTCTCCTGCCTCAGCCTCCTGAGTAGCTGGGATCACAGGCACGCGCCACTATGCCCAGCTAATTTTTTGTATTTTTAGTAGAGACGGGGTTTCACTTTGTTGACCAGGATTGTCTCGATCTCTTGACCTTGTGATCCACCTGCCTCGGCCTCCCAAAGTACTGGGATTACAGGTGTGAGCCACCACGCCCGGCCCTCCAAAATCTTTTTAACTTGCTGGCCTGTTGATCATAATCAGTGACAAGACCTACATGGCCGTGCCATGGAGCGCTTCAGTGCTGAGTGGTCATCAGGTGATAGCATCTCTTGTTTGTTTCCATGGTGACGCAGGCCAGGAGGGCTGGTCTTCAACCAAGGTCACAGCCCAGTGCTCTGAGAGTTGAGGGGAGGAGATGGATCCTTGCTTGTTGGGGCAGGGTTTAAAGACTAGTTTAGGCCGGGTGCAGTGGCTCAGGCCTATAATCCTAGCACTTTGGGAGGCTGAGGCAGGTGGATCATGAGTTTAGCAATTCGAGACCAGCCTGGCCAATGTCATGAAACCCTGTCTCTACTAAAAATACAAAAAAAAAAAAAAAAAAAAAATAGCCAGGTGTGGTGGCACGCGCCTGTAATCCCAGCTACTCAGGAGGCTGAGGCAGGAGAATCACTTGAACACAGGAGGTGGAGGTTGCAGGGAGCCAAGATTGCGCCAGTGAACTCTGGCAGGGAAACAGAGTGAGACTCCGTTTTTTTTTTTTGTCTTTTAAAAAGGCTTGCTTATTTATTTATTTATTTATTTATTTATTTATTTATTTATTTATTTATTTTTGAGACGGAGCCTCACTCTGTCACCTAGGCTGGAGTGTAGTGGCACAATCTTGGTTCACTGCAACCTCCGCTTCCAGGGTTCAAGCAGTTCTTGTGTCTCAGCCTCCTGAGCAGCTGGGATTCACAGGCGCGTGCCACTCTGTCCGGCTTATTTTCGTATTTTAGTTTCACCATGTTGGTTAGGCTGGTGTCGAACTGCTGACGTTGTGATCCGCCTGCCTCAGCCTCCCAAAATGCTGGGATTACAGGCGTGAGCCACCGCACCCAGCCAAAAGGCTAGTTTATAGAAGCAAAGCTGCATGCTGGGCTTGAGGGGTAACAGAGAACCTGGAGCCGAGGGTGGTAACATTTCAGATACACAGTCTGAAATAATGGAGCAAGTTTTACAGGGATTGAAAAATCATCCATTTCATTAGTATGGAGGATTCTTACCTGTGCATAGGAGATGGGAAGCAGAGTAGATAAGGTTGGGTGGTGGGTGGGGGCCTTAGTCCTTGGGGCTAAGCAGCTTGAACCTGAATGTCCATAAATTTCAGCATGCTCTGTGTGCATTAAAGATCAGCTCTAGGCAAAATCAAAGCTGTGAGAACACAGGCGTTGCCCCCCCCACCCCGCCCCAGCAGTTCCTTTTTTTGTACTCCCCTGCTCACTGCCCTTTCTCCACTATGCCAGAGTTCTTCTGTGTTCTGTAGCACACTACCCCTTCCTCAGCAGAATTTCCTCTTAATTAGGCCTCCTCTGTAATGAAGGGCAGAGCTCGGCTAAGTTGCCTGGAGGGTTCTGAAACTTACCATTTCTATGACAGCGATAGGTAGCAAATGCACATATCCACTTTTATAGCGAAGTTTAACTGGGGACACATCTTTATGGCCAAAAATATACTTAATGATGGAATTCCAGGTGCCAGTGCCAAGAATTACCTGGCAACAGGAGGGTAACTTGGAGGGATCCTGGGAGGGCTCTAGTCAACTGTGTACATACCTTCTCTGTACATTGTGGCCGTATGAGAAGGTCTGGCTGTGGTTTTTTAGCAGTGTGACCTCTGGGAAGGTCTCTTGATCTCGAGGTTTTCGTTTCTTCACCTAAAAATGGAAAACAGTATCAAAGATCTTTTCTCATCATTCTTGTATTCCATGTTGAGGGCACTCTCTGGTTCTCTTAGTGGAGGCTAGAAATGCTGACTTCTCCCCACCCCATTCATGCGTTAAATAAGTAAGTGTTGAGCCCTTGTCTGTGGCAGGCACTTTATTGTGAGCAGTATACATGGTGCTTGCCTTCAGGAGGCTTCCAGTTGTTTCTGACTGAGGTGGCTTGGTTCTTTTTTTGAGTTGTTCGTTCGAGTTCTCACTTGGAGAACTTCGTCTTGTCAGCCACGAGCTTCAGCGTCTGCAGTTCCTGGAGCAGGCTGTTCTTGAGCAGACCTAACTTGGTCCGCTGGATGTTGGCTCTCTGTTCATCCTTTAGTTGTGATATTCGCGTGGATAATTCTTAATGGCTACTGTAGGGGAAATCTGGTTAAACCTTTCCATGGAGTATGTGTTAATTCCACAAATATTTATTGAGCACCTGCTGTATGCTGGGCACTGCAAGGCCTTGAAATAGAAAGGTGAGTCTAACGATGCAGTTACTGCTCCCTGAGGCCAGCAGGGGAGATGGACTTGTAACAGCAAATGTATTTCTGACACCACATATATATCTAACTGCTGCTATACTGGGGACTGTGGTGGCCCTACAGGTTACTTAGGGATATATGGAGTTTGCAAAACATGGCCTGCTGCTGAGTTTACACCTGTGTGGGTGGTTAATTATTTCTCCTTTGCTCATTTACCACTTGACTTTTAATGATGGTTATTTCTAGTTGAAGTGTTCAAACAATAGTCCTGACGTCTCTTGCCTCCATGAGGGAGAACTCAAGAGGGATTCTTACATAAATGTTCTCTCTAGTTTTTCTGGTCTCCCCACTCTGGCTGCAGATGGGAACTTAGCTGTCCTGGTCCTATTGTAAGTGGCTTTCAGCCACATGGAAAAAATCACATCAGATGTGTTCATTGCTGCTTTTCCTGAGCTTACTATGGCATGGAGCTCTCTCAGGTGTGGATACAGAGAGTAGGGCAGCCTCTCCATTCAGGCCCTGCCCTCTGGGTTCCCACCAGTTGGGAAGAGATATCTAGGGCCCAGTAGGTTGACAAGATTATTAGGGGGGACCTTGGTAACTTGCGGGAAATGTGGCTCCGTAGTAACCCTGGAGTGAGGATGAGATCAGATGGGGTGCTCTGCTTCGTTCCCTCCTGGTCCCTACTTACCTGGCTCCCCAGGGTACCTGAGCCAGGACTGTCCTGCAGAGCGAGATGGAAGGCAAGACCCTGGCTTTGGCATTTGCAGCACTTCTGGGTAGCTGTGACCCAGCGCACGATGGGTTCTTACCTGCAGAGGAGCTACTTCTCTTCCTTCCTTGTAGAGGAGAGGTAGGGAATGGAAAAGGGGAAGCTCTTTCCTTGGCATTTCTTTGAGAGAGCCGAATTGTTCCCAGGAGATTGAGGCGGAAACACAGATGAATATAGCAAGTATAGCCGTCCAAAATTGGGCACAGAGGTCTTCCCGAGAGATCACAGCGGCAAGTCAGTGGCTGGAGGCTGAGAGAAGAGGGGAATGGTGGCCAGCTCTTACTCTTGTGGACATCCAAGGCCCCACTGAGGTATGGCAGCCTGTCCCTCTGGTCTGCATTACACAGGAGTGTGCAAAGCCCCCATTGTGCCTCCTCTAAGTTGCCCCAGGCAGAGCTCATGAACAAGTCCCAGAGTGGAAGCTGATCGTAATGCCAGCCTTGCCCCGCAGGGTGAGGGATTTTTCCCTCTTGAACTCTTGGGTTGGGGGAACCTAAGTGACCTCCAAGAGAACAGCCTAGGCGCTGTAGGAGTTAGCTGCTCCACATGCACGCAGCCTCACCGCTCAGCCTCAGATAGTTCTGTGTTTAGGAAAAACATGTTATATGACTGGAATAAGAACACAGGAACTATATTTATTTATTTTTAATTTCTATTTATGTTTTTGAGATGGTGTCTGGCTTTGTTGCTCAGACTGGAGTGCAGTGGCATGATCTTAGCTCACTGCAACCTCCGCCTCCCAGGTTCCAGTGATTCTCCTGCCTCAGACTCCGGGGTAGCTGGGATTACAGGCATGTGCCATTATGCCTGGCTAATTTTTGTATTTTTGGTGGAGACGGAGTTTCATCATGTTGGCCAGGCTGGTCTTGAACTTCTGACCTCAGGTAATCCTCCCACCTCAACTTCCCAAAGTACTAGGATTATAGGCATGAGCCACTGCTCCCAGCCACGGGAACTATATTTATTTAAGTGAATAAAGGGCAAACTAGAAGGTGAGCTCCATGTAGACGGGAATTGTACCTGTCTTTGCTCCCTAATTCCTGTTATAGTATCTAGTACATAATAGATACAAAATAAGCAATAAATGATGTTTGTAGCTCAGATAGTGGCCACATCCAATGTGCTGGTTTCAGTGTTTCCGGAACAACTCCCATTAACATTTGTGATGCAACTCCCATGACTAATGTTAATAAAAATAATAAGCCCTTACCTAGCCTTTTCTCTGTGCCTTTGACTCATTGAATTGCCTGGCAATCTTACAGACAGATCTGTTCTTCTCTCCCATTTTGTAGAGGAGGAGACTGTGGCAGATGGCAGTTACGTGACCAGCTCAGGTCATGCAGCTGGTAATGCAGGTGGAGTTGGGGCACTTTGAGGTCCTCTCTTACAGGCAGAGATCCCACGGGAGGCTGCTCATCTTGACCAATGATGCATTTATTTTGAAGAGGAGGAAACCTCCGCTGGAGCTGAACTTGTTTGTCCTGGGGTGAACCAGGGTGAGCCTGGGCAGCCTAAGCTGCGGCCATCATCCTGGGCTGTTTACAGCTCCATGGGACTGAAAAGTGTGTATTCTAAAAGAAGAATGTCTGGGTTTCATCACTGGTTCCATCGGCTCCACTTTCACAAGGGAAACTACAGAAGGGTTTTGTGTTGGTTCAGGCAACCTTTACACATACAGTGAGGGCAGAAATGGTCAGAGTGAGACAAGATTATGAAAAGAAACACAGAGCAGGTTTTATGAATTTATACTCAGGCTTTGAGCAAAAAAAAAACAAAACGAGGTTCAGTAAGAGCAGTCATTCAAATTGGGATAAAGGAGAAACGAACATAAGAAGATCATAAAGTAGAAAAAGGATTAGAGTAAACAGCACTGCAAGAAGCTGAACACAGATTTGGCTCTGAACTTCCATGCGGCCAAACTACAAGAGGAAACCTGATCAGCTCTCCTAGCCTCTGAGTCTCTACCATGAAAAGCCCACAGAGGGGTTAGGGTACAGAAAAGCAGGGGCCAGGACCAGTTGCCGACTGTGCTGCCCTGAAAACATCACCGAGGACAAGGAGCACAAATCTTTATTGAGGTGTGTTGTTTGAGCTGCCTCATTTTCTCAGGGGTTTTTTTTTTTTTGAGACGGAGTTTCACTCTTGTTACCCAGGCTGGAGTGCAATGGCCCGATCGTGGCTCACCACAACCTCCGCCTCCTGGGTTCAGGCAATTCTCCTGCCTCAGCCTCCCGAGTAGCTGGGACTACAGGCACGCGCCACCATGCCCAGCTAATTGTTGTATTTTTAGTAGAGATGGGGTTTCACCTTGTTGACCAGGATGGTCTCAGTCTCTTGACCTCGTGATCCACTCACCTCGGCCTCCCAAAGTGCTGGGATTACAGGCGTGAGCCACCGCGCCCGGCCATTTCTCAGGGTTTTAGTGGAAGTACAGTTAAATTTCTCACAAGTATGGAAAATACACACTCATCTTTAGTCTACATTTCTAGGTTGCTACATGTTCTAGTTCTATTTTCTTTTTTGAAGTTGCTGCTGCTATCGTTGGTTGGTTTGTTTCTGAGACAGTCTTGCTGTCATCCAGGCTGTGGTGCGATCTCTGCTCACTGCCACCTTCTCCTTCTGGATTCAAGTGATTCTCCTGCCTCAGCCTGCCAAGTAGCTGGGATTACAGAGGCCCACTGCCACACCTGGCTAATTTTTGTATTTTTAGAGGATTTGGGGTTTCGCCATGTGGGCCAGGCTGGTCTCGAACTCCTGACCTCAGGTGATCCACTTGCCTCAGTCTCCCAAAGTGTTGGGATTACGGATGTGAGCCATTGCACTCGGCCGTAATCCTACTTCTTTTTGCCATAGGGTAAGTGATGGTACTTGATTCCAACAAGTGTCTGTTTTGCCAGCATCTCATTTTGTTGTGAATGGTGCTGGAAATAGCTCATTGCTGTGGTTCTTGTGGGATGGTGAATAAATCCCATGTGCTTTGATTTCAGAGCTCATCTAGGTTTCCCTAGGTCAGTGACCATCTTGCATGATGATAATTAAAACACCTTGTTTTTAAATATAATGGTGTAGATTACAGAGTATTGGCCTTTTAAAGACATTCCCGGGAAGTCAGTTGTTGGCCTTATCTCAAGCTTGAAAGAACTGAATCTCAATAAAGAGGAGCCAGAAGTGAGGCAGCGACACTGGGGCCTTTTAGTCTTGGAGCCGCATGCAGTGCTCTATAAGAATAATTGGTTTCCATTATTATTATTATTTTGGTATATTGTGTTCCTGTCATGCTTTATTGCAATAGTTGTTTTTGGGTGATAAAAAAAAGTTGAGGCCACAAGTCTCATAGTGAACGTAGCGTTCCTTATCTGTTGAATACGTACCCTGAACTACTGTCCATTTCATGCCCTGCCCGCACAGGAATAGTTGGCCAAGTGTTGAATATCTATTACGAAGCTCCTTCTGTGGGAGCAGGCTACCTCCTACTCTCTGAAGGCAGCAGAGGGGAAGTGGCAGGTCCAGAGGTCCGAAGTATCTGCAAGCCTGGAACTGAGCCTGCGCTGCACACTCCACACCCAGGGTCCTTTCTGTGAACCTAGACTTAGCCACTCGCCTTCTCTGCAATAGAACCAGGGCACCCATGTGCACCTGGCGTAGAATAGAGCTTACATATGGTGAGGAAGGGCACCTAGCTAGCCCCAGACTGTCTCTGGACCATAATAAGGTGGAAACCATGTCTATGTAGATAACTTCCCCATGGAGTTTACACCAACCATGTGACGTGCACCTTTGGATACAGAGTGTTAAAAGCATACATGTGAACTACTGCCTGTTCCTCTGTTCCCTCCTAGCATACCTGCTTAGGAGACAAGTCCATACCTGCTATGCCACCTCTCTCTCCCATCTCTCTCCTGAACCTGCTACTCCATGCTCTGACCCTTACCCCACAAGCTCTCCAATTTGCTGGATTCAGCTGTGATGTCTCTGTTGCATCCTACCTGACCTGTGACCAGCAATGAGCCCAGCTGATCTCTCCCTTCTGTTTGATGTGCTTTCTCCTGGGTTCCACCCTCTGTCTGTTCTCCTCCCTCACCTACTCCTTCGCCTCCTTTGCCAATTCCTTCTCCTCTTCCAATTCGGAACGTTGTCCCTAGGACTGAGTCATTAGGACTCCTCTCGCTCTCCCTCACTCCCTAGAGAGTCTTTCTAGCCTCTCCCACCCAGTTCTCTTGCCATCTTTGCGTTCAGTTCTCTATTCCACCTCTTCACTGATACCTCTAAAGAAACTCACCTCCAAATCTTTGACCCCAGCAGGCTTTCTCAGTTGTTTTTGGACAGAGGTTTTCCTCATGTCCTCCTATTTCTGCTTCTCTCCTTCCTGTCTGCTTCTCAGCTCGCTGAGCCGCTCTCCTGTGCACCTGGTAGACCCCTCAGCCCCAGGCGCCTCACCGTGCCCTGCAGGGCTCCCTCCAATTCTGCTGCCCCTTTTGACGCTTTTTCTCTTTGCTCCCCTGTGTGTCTTTTGCTTCCTTCTGAGCTCCAGTATTAGGTCCTGCTGTTATATTTGGCTCTCAGGTCCGTGTCCGGGCTATGTCTTGCCTTGGATGGAATCTCTCTCCGCATAGTTAGGGGACCATTTATTTGCCCTTCAGCATGCTCAGTTTTTAGCCTGGGAAGGGTAGTCTTCACGAAGCAACACTTAAAACTCTTACTTTTCCCAGGGAACGGAAGATATTGATCATCCCATCTTCTCTGATGCATCCCATAAACAGCATCCAGGGCAGCATGGAGCTCTGCAGCTTTCCTCACTGACTTACTGCCAGTGAAGCTTATGGATTTTAGCAATTGTCACCAGCCCCCAGGGGACAGAGTAGCCCATGGAATGATATTCGTCACAGAAATTAGTCTATTTATCTCTAGAGTTTAAGTTTTATTTCCCCCAACTGGGCAGTTGCTGGGCTAACTCGGTCTATAAAGAGATGAGTAGGGGAAGCTTTTACATAGGGCTTTAAAAGTCCTCGACATTGCAGGTGGGCATTGTCAGTTATTTTGAAACCCCTCTGCCGTGTCAGCAGTCCAGCCACTGCCTAGGCTGTGGTTAATTAATTCACTTTTAGGCAGATTTCCAGTGAACACTGCTGTTGTTCATTGAAGAGTATATCCTGACATTTCTCAACTAAGGAATAGTTTCACAATTTTCATGGCAAAATTCATTCGGAATGCAAGCATGGGTCAGAATGACATTACAGTTGGACGGCCTGAAAGCTTGCTTTGTGACTGTGTAAACCATGCCCGAATTCGCCAGCGCATCTGTTGAAAAACATCTCCTGTGTCCAAGTGACCCAGCCACCTGTTGTTAGGAAGCCAGCAATCAAGCTTGCTGAGAAGCTAAGACCTTGGAGCCACCGCTGCACTGTCTGGGCCTGAGCAGCCTGTTGTCCCCTCTGCCTTGTGGCCGTATCATTGCCTCCTAGCACCTGCCTTCTAATGTGGGAGGAAGCTGGAGGCCGGGCTTACTACTTGCAGGTTCTCTAATAAAACATAGGAAAGAGAGAGTGAGCTTGATTGAAATGCCTGTGGATTGATGTTATCTGGGCTGCTCTAAGATTCTATGAGTTAGTAACTAGAAAGGACCTTGTTTTGCTTGCTAGGATGATACTCAGCTGGTTATGTCTGAGTTGGTTCTTCAGGCACAAAATAAAAAGCATTTGTGATACAGGTTTCTTTCTGTCTCTGTTGTGCCCAAGGGGTATGTTTGATAGAGGCTGGCTTGGGTTAAGTGAAGAGGGGACAGGTAAGTTTCTGGCCATGAAATAGAGCAGTTACTGGAAATAACTCCATGAGCCACCAACTCAAAGGAAAAGCACTAAACTCTTGAACTTTTTTTTTTTTTAAACAGAGTCTTGCTCTGTTGCCCAGGCTGGAATGCAGTGGTGCAATCTTGGCTCACTGAAACCTCCATCTTCCAGGTTCAAGGTATTCTCCTGCCTTAGCCTCCTGAGTAGCTGGGATTACAGGTACCCACCTGGATACCTGGCTAATTTTTGTATTTTTATAGAGATGGTTTCACCATGTTGGCCAGGCTGGTCTTGAACTCCTGACTGCAGGTGATCTGCCCACCTTGGCCTCCCGAAGTGCTGGGATTACAAGAGTGAGCCACCATGCTCAGCTAAATTTACATTTTTAAAAGAAAGCATTTATGAATTAATTTAAACTTAGCCTAAACTTTTCCTTTCTTTTTGTTTTTCTTTTTGAGACGTAGTCTGTCTTGCGCTGTTGCCCAGACTAGAGTGAAGTGGCACAGTCTCAACTCACTGCAGCCACCGTCTCCCGGATTCAAGTGATTCTCCTGCCTCAGCCTCCTGAGTAGCTGGGATTACAGGTGCATGCCACCATGCCAGGCTATATTTTTATATTTTTAATAGAGATGGGGTTTCACCATGTTGGGCAGGCTGGTCTCAAACTCCTGACCTCAGGTGATCCGCCTGGCTCAGCCTTTCAAAGTGCTAGGATGACAGGTGTGAGCCACTGCACCCAGCCATCTGTATTTTCTAAAACTACTGAACTGCACAAGAAACAAAATACCTCCATAGTTTGTCTAAACCAAATCAGAATTGAGTTGGCATTTGATTCCCTTTGAGACCCCAATCACGTGAAGCTGCTTGGTCCCTTTGGATTTAATATTGGCCTCTCTGGCCTCACGTTTATCTCCCCTTGGGATTCTATTTTAGGCACTGTGCGGTCCCAGTATCATTATGGCCACTTTATTTGTGAAGAAACTGAGGCAGAGTGGCCAAAGTGACTTTCTCAGATTGACACAGGCTCCTAGTGATGGAGCTGAGCCCGGAAGCCAATGCTTCTTGTAGGTGGGTGGTGGAATTCTTGTGCCAAGAGGAGCACTTGAGAGGGCTTCCCTGATTTTTCTATGTACCCAGGAGCTGAGGGGACCCAGGGAATTGAGGCTGTCTTCACGACCCGGTGACAGGCGCCCAAGGCTCTCTGCCTCTTGCACTGGGGACATTAACCTGGAAATTCCACTCCCGGGACCTTCTCTCAGAAACTCCAAGGAGCGGGACTAGTCAGAGGGAGGGGCAGTGAACATCTGGAGCTCCCTTCCTCCTCAGGAGTTCTGCTTGTCACCCTCTAGTAATAACTCTTAGCTGATATGCTGCTATTGTCTTCCTTTAAATTTGTCAAAATTGAGTTTTGAAATTTGTTTTGTACCTAAAGTACTCTTTTTATTTACTGTTTTATTTCCCTTTCCATGTTTAAAGTTGATTTTAAAGTCCAGTGTTTTTTTTCCCCCCAAAACAAATTATTATCGTGAACGTCAGGGTTTGTCTCGTGTTTTTCAGGCATTGTAAGTGAGACTGACCACATCATCTAGGAAAATGGTAGCCCTGTCCTTAAAGATTTGTGTCCGCCACTGCAACGTGGTGAAGACCATGCAGTTTGAACCGTCTACAGCTGTGTATGATGCATGTCGAGTCATTCGGGAGCGGGTACCTGAGGCACAAACTGGGCAAGGTAGGTCATGGGTTATTTACTGGCTTCTTAAAATGTGTGCGTGTTTTTCACTTATTTGCTAAAGAGACAGAGGCTCCAAGTGGTACACAAGCCTATTAGTGCATATATTTCAAGTGAAATGTCTTAGATCAGTAACTGCCTGCTTCCTCTGAGACTTGCGATGACAATGACCATGCCCACCTCTGAGTCATCACTGTTGTTGGACCCAGCAACTTGACCCTCCCATACGTTAGGATTGTGCTCTGCAGCTTACAGATCACGTTCTCACGTATCATCTCACTGTCCCAAGGAAGTGCAAATGAAGCTGCCCTAACAGTATTGGCGCTGTATATCCTAAGCCCTGCTTCCCGTGCAGTATTGGCGCTGTATATCCTAAGCCCTGTTCCCCGTGCGGTATTGGCGCTGTATATCCTAAGCCCTGTTCCCCGTGCGGTATTGGCGCTGTATATCCTAAGCCCTGCTTCCCGTGCAGTATTGGCGCTGTATATCCTAAGCCCTGTTCCCCGTGCGGTATTGGCGCTGTATATCCTAAGCCCTGTTCCCCGTGCGGTATTGGCGCTGTATATCCTAAGCCCTGTTCCCCGTGCGGTATTGGCGCTGTATATCCTAAGCCCTGTTCCCCGTGCGGTATTGGCGCTGTATATCCTAAGCCCTGTTCCCCGTGCGGTATTGGCGCTGTATATCCTAAGCCCTGTTCCCCGTGCGGTATTGGCGCTGTATATCCTAAGCCCTGTTCCCCGTGCGGTATTGGCGCTGTATATCCTAAGCCCTGTTCCCCGTGCGGTATTGGCGCTGTATATCCTAAGCCCTGTTCCCCGTGCGGTATTGGCGCTGTATATCCTAAGCCCTGTTCCCCGTGCGGTATTGGCGCTGTATATCCTAAGCCCTGTTTCCCGTGCGGTATTGGCGCTGTATATCCTAAGCCCTGTTTCCCGTGCGGTATTGGCGCTGTATATCCTAAGCCCTGTTTCCCGTGCGGTATTGGCGCTGTATATCCTAAGCCCTTTTTCCCGTGCGTGAACGCTTTCCACTGCATCGGAACCCAGGGCACATATTACATTTCACATTTTTTTGCAGGGACATTATAAATTTTATCTCAAATCTTTAAGAAAAAGACTTTTGTGAGATATGTTTTAAGTTTGACTGAATCCCTCATGCCCGTTAATCTGAGTTTAAACAAAAGCCACTTGTGCCATTTTATTTTCCCCTGCCCTTTGTCTTCCATGTGTCTTTCCATTATTTAGTGTTTATTTGACAGGTAGTTGAGAAATCAGGTCCCTTCCAAATCAATTAATCTTAAGTGTGAAAGTGGGATAAAACCTATCTTAAAAATGAAAAGAGCAGGCCAAGCATAGGGGCTCACACCTGTAATCCAAGCACTTTGTGAGACCGAGGCGGGAAGATCGCTTGAGCCTGGAAGTTAGAAACCAGTCTAGGCACCAGGGCAAAACTCTCTCTGTACTAAAGTCTGAAACATTAGCTAAGTGTGGTGGTGTGTGCCTGTAGTCTCAGCCACTGGGGAAGTCGAGGTGGAAAGTAACTTCAACCCAGGAGTTGATGGCTGCGGTGAGCCGTGACCTAGCCACTGCACTCAAGCCTGGCTGACGGAGTGAGACCCAGACTCAAAAAAGGAAGAATAAAAATCAGACATCACAACAAGGTTAATTATAAATACAAAAAGATCTTGAAAAGATCTGCTTTTCATAAAATTCTTTTTGGTCTAAAACATATTTTTATTAGCGTTACTTTTTGGGACAGTGTCTTGCTCAGTCACTGAGGCTGGAGTGCAGTGGCCCCATCAGACTTCACTGTAGCCTCGTCTCAGCCTCCTGAATAGCCAGGACTACAGGTACACACGCCACCACACCCAGCTAGTTTTTGTAGACCACAAAAAATGTGAGGGAATTTGAAGACAACCATGAAGCAGTCTGACGACAGAATATCTTTAGATTTCCATGATTTTTTTTCCTTTTCAGTATTTTACAGTTTTCTCATCTCTATATCATTTAATACATTTTATAACTATTTTTTGTTCTTTGAGACACAGTCTCACTCTGTCACCCAGGCTGGACTGCAGTGGCACAATCTCAGTTCATTGCAATCTCCACCTCCTGGGTTCAAGCGATTCTGCTGCCTCAGCCTCTCGAGTAACAGGCATTACAGATCTGCCACCATGCCTGGCTTAGGCCTATTTTTTTTTTGAGACAGAATTTTGCTCTTGCTTCCAGGCTTGAGTGCAATGGTGTGATCTTGGCTCACTGTAACTTCTGCCTCCCAGGTTCAAGTGATTCTCCTGCCTCAGCCTCCTGAGTAGCTGGGATTACAGGCACGAGCCACTACACCTAGCTAATATTGCCTTTTTAGTAGAGATGGGGTTTCACCATGTTGCCCAGGCTGGTCTGAAACTCCTGTGCTCACCTGATCCACCTGCCTCAGCCTCTCAAAGTGCTGGGATTACAGGCGTGAGCCACCGCGCCCCCTGGCCATTAAAACATTACTTACGTTGTTAATAAAACTGTGTTGTTGCTAGATTACCCAGAAATAAGCTTTGCTACATCCCTAACCTTACTCTTTTTGGTTGTCCAGTCATTTCTGGTGCCTTTACTTTTCTCTTCCCTTTTTCTGTTGTTTTTCTTTCAGATTTTTCTTTTCCGTGGTGGGTAGGGAGCTTGATTGTTATGTAGTGTGGGTGAAGTTGCTTTTCTAAGAAACAGCAGGAGCTCTTACCCTCATCTGGGGCTCTGAGAAGAAAGAGAAATTTTGAGGGAGGAAATGGTACTGCTCCTCTCCTCCCGCCTCTCCCCCAACCTCATATTTTTTATGCCAGATTAAGGGGTTCCTGCAGAGAAAACCAAGTTTAATTGTGTACCTTTTACATAACTTGGCGGTAGTAAGGGGCAGAGGCCTCATCCCACAAGGAACCCCTGCCTGTCTTCTAGACTGCTCAGTTGGGATGGTGGAGGGGTCACTTGAGACATAAAGGCTTCATTTGTCCCCATTTGCGTGAGTGGACTTGGGCATAGGTGGTCACTTCCTTAGTTTCTTCACTGCTGTCTTGTTATTCTCGATGGGATGTTGGTCTGGTTTTTATAGCAAGGCATGGAGAACAAGCTCAAATTCAGTTAGAAAGAAATTTAGACCGCATCTAAATTTTCCTACATTTTAGGCACAACTGCAACCCACTGGTTTTAGGAGACACGTACCTTATTTGCACGCGTTGCTTCTGCAACTCAGCTTGTACTCCTCCAGATCTGCTGCATCCCCGGTGGCTGCTTGTGTCATCAAAACGAAACGTTTCTGTCTGGTGAAGGAGCACACCCACATCCTCGCCGAGTCAGCAGGCTCAGGGCCTGGAAGTCAGTGATGACTTCATCACCACTCTGCCTTCTATTTTTCATATTCCAGCTTCTGACTATGGACTGTTCCTTTCGGATGAAGACCCCAGGAAAGGGATTTGGCTGGAAGCGGGCAGAACACTGGATTACTACATGTTGCGGAATGGGGTATGCCGACGATCCCAGTGTGCTTTTCTCATCGCTTTGTCCCTGGGCCTTCCATAGAAGCCAACATGATTATGCTATTTTGATTCAAGGGCATCTTATGAAGAGTTCAATGCATTGTACTTTGTCAGGGCTGTCCAGGTGTTGATAGAAAATGTCAGATACCCAAATTCTTGAGATTCCATAGAAGGATTGAAGCAGTTCGGCCGTTAGTATTTTAAGTACTTTCTACTTCTCGTTGTTGGAATTGGAAATTGTGAGATAAGATACAGCATCTTTACTGTAAGTATGTAAGAGATATTCCTGTGCCTGGTGATAGGAAGTAAGACCAGATGAGAGGGAGAGGGAAAACCAAGTGTAACCCTGACGGTAGTTAGAGAGTGAATATCAGTGTTTTGGTTTTGAAAAAGAAACTTCAATTTGAGATGTGAGTTTAATAATGATCAGCAGTAGGCCGGGCGCGGTGGCTCACGCCTGTAATCCCAGCACTTTGGGAGGCCGAGGCGGGGAGATCACAAGGTCAAGAGATCGAGACCATCCTGGTCAACATGGTGAAACCCCATCTCTACTAAAAATACAAAAAATTAGCTGGGCATGGTGGTGCGTGCCTGTAGTCCCAGCTACTCAGGAGGCTGAGGCAGGAGAATTGCCTGAACCCAGGAGGCGGAGGTTGTGGTGAGCCGAGATCGCGCCATTGCACTCCAGCCTGGGTAACAAGAGTGAAACTCCGTCTCAGAAAAAAAAAAAAAAATTATCAGCAGTAGTAACAGCAACAACAAAAATGATTGTGTCACGGAAGTAGGGGGAGGTGATGAGTAGAACCGTATCAAACACTTTGTTCAGCTTAACCTCCAAGATACCAGGTCTTGGTATGTAGGATGGAGTGGACCCATTGGATTGATGGGTATTACATAAAGTAGGAGTGAAATATGTGATGCTGATCAATTTGGATAAGAAATTAACAGTTTAGTTTTAGGAAGTTCATAGTTCTAGTTTTGGGAAGTGTAGTAAACAAGTTACTTAAAAATAACCCCCAAATGTATCACCCCGGACGGTCTTGTCATTATTGTATTTCAGCATATTGTTTCGAAAATCGTTACTACTGTGATACGCCACTACTGCTAGGAGTGACGAGGATGCTATTTATGTCTTTCATTATTTATAATATATCAGGTAAAATGTATTAATAGTGAAAATTAAACACGTTTTCCTATGCAGATAGTAAAGACATGTAGATAGTAAAAGTTGCTTATGGCAATGTGGAAAGATAATTGCAGACACACGCTGCTGTCCTTTTGAAAGAAAGGAATCGCTTCCCTCTGCTAATTCTCCTTAGAGCAGATCATTCCCAGCCTTTCAGGAGGTCGTACGCTACTTTCATTCACCGAGGATTGTTTTCAATCATTGTGAGGCATTAAGTATGAGTTCTTTGGGTACAGTTTCACTATCAGATTTTTAAGGAATCTTTATGAAAGCAGTTACTTAGCACTGGAGATTCTGTATTATCATAGTGGCAATAATCCCCTGAATGCCTTGGAAGGTACTCAAAGATTTTTTTTTTTTTTTTTTTGAGACAGAGTTTCACTCTTGTTACCCAGGCTGGAGTGCAATGGCCTGATCTCGGCTCACCGCAACCTTCGCCTCCTGGATTCAGGCAATTCTCCTGCCTCAGCCTCCCGAGTACCTGGGATTACAGGCACGCGCCACCATGCCCAGCTAATTTTTTGTATTTTTAGTAGAGACAGGGTTTCACCACGTTGACCAGGATGGTCTCGATCTCTTGACCTCGTGATCCCTCCGCCTCGGCCTCCCAAAGTGCTGGGATTACAGACGTGAGCCACCACGCCCGGCCTCAAAGATGTTTTAGAAGAAAGAGGAAATCAGAGTCTACTGTGATTTTTTTTTTTTAAAGAAAAGTATTCAAGTTTGTTATCTGTTTTCCCACACAGTGTGAAATTTGTGTGTGGTTTGTGCTGTAGGATATTTTGGAATATAAAAAGAAACAGAGACCTCAGAAAATCCGGATGCTGGATGGATCTGTGAAGACGGTGATGGTGGATGATTCCAAGACTGTGGGGGAGCTCCTGGTCACTATTTGTAGCAGAATAGGTGAGCATTCAGATACCTTATAACTTTTGCTTGGTTTTTAATTGTAGGCCTCTTCGTTTTTCAACCTGCATTTCCTCTCTAGGCAGTTTTGAATGTGTCTTAACACACCGAGTTCTGCCCAATCCATAGAGTGTGTGTCCATTCTCCCAACTTGCCGATCCACTAAGACACTTGAGAGCTGTCATTTCCCTCTCCAAAACTAGGAGATTTTCAAATGGAAAGTGGTGTAGTTCAGCCTCCTGCCCACTGCTGCCTTCTGTTCTGTATGAGCACTATAGATGCTCACTGTATCCTTCTGTTCTGTATGAGCACTGTAGATGCTCACTGTATCCTTCTGTTCTGTATGAGCAATGTAGATGCTCACTGTCTCCTTCTGTTCTGTGTGAGCACTGTAGATGCTCACTGCTGCCTTCTGTTCTGTATGAGCACTATAGATGCTCACTGTATCCTTCTGTTCTGTATGAGCACTGTAGATGCTCACTGTCACCTTCTGTTCTGTGTGAGCACTATAGATGTTCACAGTCTCCTTCTGTTCTGTATGAGCACTGTAGATGTTCACAGTCTCCTTCTGTTCTGTATGAGCACTGTAGATGCTCACTGTCTCCTTCTGTTCTGTGTGAGCACTGTAGATGCTCACTGCTGCCTTCTGTTCTGTATGAGCACTGTAGATGCTCACTGTCTCCTTCTGTTCTGTATGAGCACTGTAGATGCTCACTGTCTCCTTCTGTTCTGTGTGAGTACTGTAGATGCTCACTGTATCCTTCTGTTCTGTATGAGTACTGTAGTTGCTCACTGTCTCCTTCTGTTCTGTGTGAGTACTGTAGATGCTCACTGTCTCCTTCTGTTCTGTGTGAGCACTGTAGATGCTCACTGTCACCTTCTGTTCTGTGTGAGCACTATAGATGTTCACAGTCTCCTTCTGTTCTGTATGAGCACTGTAGATGTTCAGTCTCCTTCTGTTCTGTATGAGCACTGTAGATGCTCACTGTCTCCTTCTGTTCTGTGTGAGCACTGTAGATGCTCACTGCTGCCTTCTGTTCTGTATGAGCACTGTAGATGCTCACTGTCTCCTTCTGTTCTGTATGAGCACTATAGATGTTCACAGTCTCCTTCTGTTCTGTATGAGCACTGTAGATGTTCAGTCTCCTTCTGTTCTGTATGAGCACTGTAGATGCTCACTGTCTCCTTCTGTTCTGTGTGAGCACTGTAGATGCTCACTGTCTCCTTCTGTTCTGTGTGAGTACTGTAGATGCTCACTGTCTCCTTCTGTTCTGTGTGAGCACTGTAGATGCTCACTGTCTCCTTCTGTTCTGTGTGTGCACTGTAGATGCTCACTGTCTCCTTCTGTTCTGTATGAGCACTGTAGATGCTCACTGTCTCCTTCTGTTCTGTGTGTGCACTGTAGATGCTCACTGTCTCCTTCTGTTCTGTATGAGCACTGTAGATGCTCACTGTCTCCTTCTGTTCTGTGTGAGCACTGTAGATGCTCACTGTCTCCTTCTGTTCTGTGTGAACACTGTGGATGCTCACTGTCTCCTTCTGTTCTGTATGTGCACTGTAGATGCTCACTGTCTCCTTCTGTTCTGTATGAGTACTGTAGATGCTCACTGTCTCCTTCTGTTCTGTATGTGCACTGTAGATGCTCACTGTCTCCTTCTGTTCTGTATGTGCACTGTAGATGCTCATTGTCTCCTTCTGTTCTGTGTGAGTACTGTAGATGCTCACTGTCTCCTTCTGTTCTGTATGAGCACTGTAGATGCTCATTGTCTCCTTCTGTTCTGTATGTGCACTGTAGATGCTCACTGTCTCCTTCTGTTCTGTGTGAGCACTGTAGATGCTCACTGTCTCCTTCTGTTCTGTGTGAGTACTGTAGATGCTCACTGTCTCCTTCTGTTCTGTATGAGCACTGTAGATGCTCACTGTATCCTTCTGTTCTGTATGAGCACTATAGATGCTCACTGTCTCCTTCTGTTCTGTGTGAGCACTGTAGATGCTCAGTGTCTCCTTCTGTTCTGTATGAGCACTGTAGATGCTCACTGTCTCCTTCTGTTCTGTATGAGTACTCTAGATGCTCACTGTATCCTGTTCTGTGTGAGCACTGTAGATGCTCACTGTCTCCTTCTGTTCTGTGTGAGCACTGTAGATGCCCACTGTCTCCTTCTGTTCTGTATGAGCACTGTAGATGCTCACTGTCTCCTTCTGTTCTGTGTGAGCACTGTAGATGCTCAGTGTCTCCTTCTGTTCTGTGTGAGCACTGTAGATGCTCACTGTCTCCTTCTGTTCTGTATGAGCACTGTAGATGCTCACTGTCTCCTTCTGTTCTGTATGAGCACTGTAGATGCTCACTGTCTCCTTCTGTTCTGTATGAGCACTGTAGATGCTCACTGTCTCCTTCTGTTCTGTATGAGCACTGTAGATGCTCACTGTATCCTGTTCTGTATGAGCACTGTAGATGCTCACTGTCTTCTGTTCTGTATGAGCACTGTAGATGCTCACTGTCTCCTTCTGTTCTGTGTGAGCACTGTAGATGCTCACTGTCTCCTTCTGTTCTGTATGAGCACTATAGATGCTCACTGTCTCCTTCTGTTCTGTATGAGCACTGTAGATGCTCACTGTCTCATTCTGTTCTGTATGAGCACTGTAGATGCTCACTGTATCCTGTTCTGTATGAGCACTGTAGATGCTCACTGTATCCTGTTCTGTATGAGAACTATAGATGCTCACTGTCTCCTTGAGTACTCTTAGTGACTGCCCTTATGATTGATTATTAGATAGTTTTTCTTCTGGTGGCCTCTCTTAGTCTCCCCAGAGAACAAGTCTGCTTCCTTTCTAATGAAACCCTTCAAATATTTGAAGAAAGTAGACTTGCCTATATAGTTTTCTCTTCGTGCAAAGGCAGCCCAGTTCCTTCAGACACTTCTTGTTTGACCATCTTGCCTTCTTCTGCACGACCTCTTCTGTGGCAGTGTTTCTCAAACTTTCTTATAAATGAGATAATTGAATGTGATATAAGTTTTACTGTAAGTGTGACTTCTTTGGATATGATTTCACTATTAGATTTTTTTTTTTTTTTTGGAAGATGGAGTCTGGCTCTTGTTGCCCAGGCTGGGAGTGCAGTACTGCAATCTCGGCTCACCGCAACCTCTGCCTCCCAGGTTCAAGTGATTCTCCTGCCTCAGCCTCCTGAGTAGCTGAGATTACAGGCATGCGCCTCCTCACCTGGCTAATTTTGTATTTTAAGTAGAGACAGGGTTTCTCTATGTTGGTCAGGCTGGTCTCAAACTCCCGACCTCAGGTGATCCACCCAACTCAGCCTCCCAAAGTGCTGGGATTAGATTTTTAATCTATTAGGTTTTTAAGAAATCTTTATGAAAGCAATTACTTAGCACTGGAGATTCTGTATTATCGTAGTGACAACCTTGTGAAAATGTAGGAGGTTTTCAAAGACATTTTGGAAGAAAGAGGAAATCAGAGCTGATTTTTAAAAATTTGTTTTTGAAAGAGCATTGTCCAAGTTCATTACCTGTTGTTTTCCCCTGCAGTGTGACTATGACTTAACGAGCTGAAGCACCTTCATTTGATCTGATATGGCTGCCTCCCTGACCCTTACATTAGTAAGGCCATTTCCGGTTCTTTGCTACCAGGAGAAGCTCCTTGGAATATCACAGGCCTTAGGTTAAAAGAGGTTGAGAACAGTTTAATGATTTACAATTATAACCTAATTTCCAATTTTTAGGAATAACAAATTATGAAGAATACTCCTTAATCCAAGAAACTATTGAAGAAAAGAAAGAGGAAGGGACGGGTACGCTGAAGAAAGACAGGACATTATTACGAGATGAGAGGAAAATGGAGAAGTTGAAGGCTAAGCTGCACACAGACGATGACCGTAAGTGTTTGCAGAGGAAGCATGTTATAGACACACAGGCGCTGCCGAGCCTCACTTCCTTACACCATTCGTATGGCCCAGGGCAGGGTTTTTGGTTTTTGTTTTTTTAAAACTCTATTAAAAAAAAAGCAGGCTGGGTGCAGTTGGCTCATGCCTGTAATCCCAGTACTTTGGGAGCCCGAGGTGGGTGGATTACCTGAGGGTCAGGAGTTTGAGACCAGGCTGGCTAACATGGTGAAAACCCATCTCTACTAAAATACAGAAAAAATAAGCCGGGCGTGGTTGCAGGCACCTATAATCCCAGCGACTTGGGAGGCTGAGGCAGGAGAATCACTTGAACCTGGGAGGTGGAGGTTGCAATGAGCTGAGATCATGCCATTGCTTTCCAGCCTGGGTGTCAGAGTGAGACTCTGTCTCAATAAATACGTAAACAAATTTTTTGAAAAGTAACTGTAATATTTCACGTCTAAAGACATGTCTTAATATCAGTTATACAAATCATGTTCATATTTTCTCCATTGTCTAAAAATTTTTTAGTAGTTTGCACTAGGTTCCAAATAAGGTTGAACACATTAATTTAGTTAATTAATTTGTTTTACTAAATCTCTTTCCATCTTTTCTTAAAATTGACTAATATTAATGATGTGTATTTATGGTATGCAGTGTGACATATCTATGTAGACATTGAAGGATTCAATCGAGCTGATTAACATATCTGTCACCCCTCCAATTTATCTTTTTTTGTGGTAAGACTGTTAAAAATCTATTATATTAGCATTTAAAAAATACGTAATACATTATTGTTGACTGATCACCACTCGGCGCAATAGGTCGTGTCTTTTTTTGTGTGTGGTTTTTGTTTATATGAAGAAACCAGATTGTTAATTGCAGTGTTTCCTACTTTCTGGAGTTTCTTCATCACATACCTGTGGTGTCATTTAACATGTTCCTCTGTCCCTTTTAATTCCTTAGATCTGGAGGCTTGAATAGATTCAAGTGTTGGTATTTATTTTAGGAAAGATGCTTTCTTCAGTGATGGTATGTACGTCTATCAGGAAGTTGTTTCTGGTTTTCTCTTTTGAGGAGATGTTTAACATCCATCAGTGACCATTGCCTAGACCCATTATTTCCGTAGGGGTTAAAAATAGTAATAGAACGGTGGGCGCAGTGGCTTATGCCTGTAATTCTAGCACTTTGGGAAGCCAAGGTGGGTGGATCACTTGTTGTCAGGAGTTTGAGACCAGTCTGGCCAGCATGGTGAAACCCTGTCTCTACTTAAAAATACAAAAATTGGCCAGGCACGGTGGCTCAAGCCTGTAATCCCAGCACTTTGGGAAGCCGAGGCAGGTGGATCCCGAGGTCAAGAGATAGAGACCATCCTGGTCAACATGGTGAAACCCCGTCTCTACTAAAAATACAAAAAAATTAGCTGGGCATGGTGGTGCGTGCCTGTAATCCCAGCTACTCAGGAGGCTGAGGCAGAAGAATTGCCTGAACCCAGGAGGCAGAGGTTGCGGTGAGCCGAGATCGCGCCATTGCACTCCAGCCTGGGTAACAAGAGCGAAACTCAATCTCAAAAAAAAAAAATAAATAAATACAAAAATTAACCAGATGTGGTGGCACGCGCCTGTCATCCCAGCTACTTGGGAGGCTAAGGCAGGAGAATCACTTGAACCCGGGAGGCAGAGCTTGCAGTGAACTGAGATTGCGACACTGCACTCCAGCCTAGGAGACAGAGTAAGACTGTCTCAAAAAAAAAAAAAAAAAAAAAAAGTAATAGAGTTCTATTATTGGAAAATCATTTTCTATAGCTATACAGTTAATATGTGGAACAACCAGCATGTAACCCCATGTGTCCCTAAAGCCCATGCTGTTTGCACCTTGCTGCCTGACCCCCCACTGAAAGGGTCATAATTGATTACCCAGTCCACCTGGACTTCCTGGCCTCTTTCTCCCTTTCATTGTATCTGTTCTTGTGGCTGCATCGCGATGACATCATTATTGCCATTGTGTTTATTGATCTTCTGTGAGGCTCTTGTTTCCTCTGACCCTTTCTGTGCTTTTTATTCTTTCTGCCTAATTTGATCTGGTGTTATATACTTTCTTCCAAGAGACTTTAGTAGAAAAATCCCAAGGATGAATTATTATGTGCAAGATACTCTCCCAGGTACTGTGGGAGATGTGGGAGACACATTTTGTGTGCTCAGGTTGCTTATAATCTAGAGACATTGGTGATAAGGACTTCACCCACGGAGTGTTCTAAGCCCAGAGAGGAGTGTTGGAGTGAGAGCTGTGAAAGTGTAGAGGGGAGTGATCGATTCCTGTGCACACAGATGTGAGGACAGTAATCTCAGAATGGCTGAGATTTAAGCTGGTCCGTGGCATGGTTCTGCCTCCCCACTTTAGTGCTGTCCCCCTCCACTCCCACTATACTTGGATTTTCTTTCTCTTTACTACTTGAGGTCAGAGGTAACTTGTTATGCTTAGAGCCTCTAAATCACATTACCAGCTGAGGCTGGAGTATCCGCCCTCCACCCCACCACCAGAGAGGCAGCATATTATAAATTCAGTATAGTGCTTTAGCTAACTTTAGGAATGGCTGGGGATTTTCTCCCTCATTTCCATTTTGGCTGGTCATTTGGTAGATGTGAAATATTTTGCATAGCTGAAAAACTACAGTTCTAAGATAAGAAGTAACTATAACTATAACTAAATATCAGAGTTATAGAAATCTACGTCACACTGCTCTTTTGGTAAATCCCCTTTAATGAAGAGGAAAAATAAACACAGTTCTCTTATATGTCTTGTTGTATTGCAGTAAATTGGCTAGATCACAGCCGAACGTTCAGAGAACAAGGAGTAGATGAAAACGAGACGTTGCTGCTTAGACGGAAGTTCTTTTACTCTGATCAGAATGTAGATTCGAGAGACCCTGTGCAGCTGAACTTGCTTTATGTTCAGGTACAGTATTTACTGCTCAGACACTGAGGTTGATGAGACTGCAGGAAGCTCCTGGCTGTATCTTGTGGCGAGCCGGAGGGTGGCGCTGGCTTCTGCCACGTTTATGACGTCGTTTCCAACAGGCACGGCTCGTGGGTCACGCGTGTGTTTGATTATGGTGCAGGCTGATATTCTACCTGAGTAGCTGACCATCCGGAGTAGGGCCTCCCTGTGGCTTCCCAGATTGTGACCTGGTAGCCAACACTGTCCCTCTCTGCCAGACTTTGAGAGATAGTTATATTTCACCTAACTGGCTTACCATTTCAAATGCACTAAAAGCGTTAGCCGGCATCTTAGAATGCAAGAGACTGTTGGTCAGAAAATCAGGCCTTCTCGTTAACTGGAAGGAAGATATTCTCTTAATAACCTTTCATGTCTTTACCCTTATCCAATTGTTGAAACAGACAAGTCATTTAACGTGTCTGAGTTGCTGTTTCCCAGTCTGTAAGATGTGGGCTTTGCACTAGATTGTCGCCAAAGTTTCTTGTGGCTCAAGGAAAACATCCTTCATCTTTGTCCTGTCCTACCAGCTTCCTTTCTTCCTTTCCTTCCCTCTCTCCCTTTCCTCTCCTATTTATCTATCTATCTGCCCATAGAAATAATGTAGGGGTTGGCAGACTATAGGCATGGCTTTTGCCTGTATTTGTGAATAAAGTTTTATTGGAACACAACTTACATATTCAAGTATCACATATTGATAAATTCCCTTGAGGGTTATATAATTGTTACACATACCTTCTGTGGCTGTTCTCGAATTCAGTGACAGAACTCAGTAGTTGTGACGGAGACTGTGTGGCCCACAAGGTTTGAAATGTTTACTGTTTGGCCTTTTAGAGAAGTTTCCTGACCGCTGAGTTAGTGGATGGGAGGATGGCATGGAAAGAGGGCTGAGAGGAAAGAGGCAGGAAGACCAAAAGGAGAGAGATAGCAGGGCCGCGAAAAGATGCTTGTTGGCTTAAGGCTCAGAGCGACAGCTGAGTGTCCATCTTAGGGCAGTGTGGGGTCATTTAACTAGAGAAAGGAAAGGCAGAAGGAAAATGGGGGAAAGCAGTGATGGATGGAGAACTGGGAGCAGGAGGTCAGACCCAGCAAGCTCCTCATTTTAAGATGCATTCGCCTGTCATTTCCCCTGCCTGTCTTGAGTATTGAGTTCTCATCCGTGTGTGTGTGTATACCTATCGCCTTTCTTTCTCTCCTATTACACTGGTCTTTATCTGGGGATGGGGATCAGGTTGATTTTACCTCGAGATATTTTGCTGCTAGCTTTATGATTTAGGATTGTAAAAGGTACACTGTATTTGTCTTTTGGCCTCTTTGAAGCTGATCATTTTGTGTGAATGTCCTTTGCCTCTTTTTCTTTTTATAATCACTCTGCCTGTATGGATTGTCGCCAAACTTTGCTTTGGCCATGCCTAACACCTCTAATGTTTTCCATTTACAGGCTGTTGTGGACAGAGGATTGTTTTTCTTTTGCCTTAGTTTTCTCCCATGAGGTGATCATCCACTGTGTCCTGCACACATCACCGTGTGTCGGCTGGCATTGTCCCCTGCTCCACAGAGAGCGTGTGCTGGGCCATGGGAATGTGTAGATTCAGAGCAAGTGTCATTTCCCCCAAGCCTCTGATGCTTTCCCTTCCTCGTGTGTTTCAGGCTCGCGATGACATCCTGAACGGCTCTCATCCTGTCTCCTTCGAGAAAGCTTGTGAGTTTGGTGGATTTCAAGCCCAGATACAGTTCGGACCTCATGTAGAACATAAACACAAGCCTGGATTCTTAGAGTAAATGACATTTTGTGTCTCTTTTTTTGTCTTTTCTCCCCTCTTCTTTTCCTTTCACCTGTTTGTTTTTGAGCAAGTTATCTAAGATCATACCCTGATTTCAGTCAATTGTGAGAATGATAGCTCTTTGTCAATCAAGTAGATGACTAAGTTTGCAGATTTTGGGGAAAGCAAGAGAAATTCAGAAGTTTTTCTTGCTGAATAGAAATTCAGTGATCTGTGTCCCCCTCCACCCTGTTTTTTTCCTTCTACTTCCTCTTAGTGCAGAGGAAAGTTTAAAAAAAAATTCACTCCCAAGAGTCTCTTGTGGTCACTGTGATGCTTTACCTAGAGTGCAGCCTGTAGGAGGTTTGGAAGTAGGGCCGTGGTGTGAACACCAGTGGGGGGTTGGAGGACATGAGCTTTCCTGTAGGATGTACCAGTCAGCATGAAATGTGTCCAGTAGGCCATTCATTGTATCGTGCATTCAGTGTATTGTGTTTACATGTATCGTGGGGAGAGTATAACGGAGAGGCTGCTTTGGCCCTTGACCCCACTTTTACTTTGGTGGAAAGTCATTGGGACCGAAATATGGTTTTGTGTAAGAAGAAAACTTAACTTGTCTTCTGATGGCAGAGAATGCCTGGCCAATATGCTGTTTGGTCTGAACTGAGTTGCTACCCCTGAAAAAGCAAAACTCTGCCTCGGGTGAGTGAATCCCAGGGAGCCTTTTCAGGGTGATGCTGTGTCCTGCAGTGCACCACACATTGTGAGCCTGCGGCTGAGGATGGCCCTGAGCAGTTCCTACCACCTGCTTTGTTCTGTATTCTCCAAATGAGTCAGATGGCTGGTGGTCCTCAGGGCCCGTTTTTATCCCACGAGGCTGGCCTCCTTCCTCAGGAGCCTTGGGAAGCTTGCCTTTGTGTCGAGCCAGCTCTCGAAGGCCATGCGCACAAGTTCCTTTAGCAGTTTCCGCCGCATCCCACCTTCTAACCTCTCAGCTGGCCCCTCAGATAAAACGGATGTCATCAGCCTGAGGATTATGGCCACGGATATTGAGGAATAAGCACCAAGACCAGGTGAGGCCTTGGAGGAAGCAAAATTTTGTTTCTGTTGCTAGAGTGACTGGTGACCAATAGAAAATAGAGGGAAGGCCGATGAATCCAAACAAGAGAAATATTACGTTGACCTATTTGTAAGCTTTTGTAGCTGTGATTCTGTGTCTCCCTGGTAGGAAGGAGATCCAAATGTAGCCATTCACTGGGTTCCTGTATTGATGATGATGCCACCCTGGTCATTCTATCAGCTCACTTTCTCCACAGCCCTGGGCAACTAGTTCTCAGGACTCCCTTGTGAATTGAGAACATGCTATTCTATTTGATAGATATGTAAGAAGCAGGAGAGAGAGAAGCGTCTTATTCGCAGTCACTTAAAGAGGTTATCTGCAAATAGCTTCTGACTTCTAATGCTGTGCTGTCATTTTCAAAGGCATTCCTACTGTCAGTGAAAAGCAAAGTTGCCCCTTTCCCTGGGTTCCCACTATGCAGCAAAGGTGCTTAAAAATGGGATTACAAGGTGCTTTTGTGTATTTCCCAGTATTGTGGATTGTACCAGCCACATCAGCGTGAGTGTTACCGCACAGCTGACTGCCTGTGTTGACATTACAAACTAATGTCAATAATATTAGTATTGGTCTTAAAATTATGTACTGCAGTTTCTGGTCCTGTTGAATGCCACACACTCATACTCCAGCAACAGTATTCTTCTCTTAATAATCTGAGACAGAAAAAGTTAAGCAATTGCACTGCGTTCGTTTCCTTTTTTCTAAGACTGTAGTATGAAGTTTATGCCGGTAGTGCTACCTGCTCCGTTACTCAGATTCCAAATTCTAATAAGGTGGTTATGCCTGGCGGCAATTATTTTTCCTTATGAATTGGATTTACTTTTTAATTAGACCAAATCTTATCTAGGTAATGAGGCATTTTTATTTAATGTAGATATTTACTTAGGTACATTATTGCTCATACCATGCAGGTAAAACTTCTTGAGGATATAAGTCCCTTCTTAATTAAAACAAAACAGCGAGGTCATATTTTGCTGATTTGCAGGTTAGGTAGTCAGATCCTGTTTTTGCCTGGGCTGATCCTGGTGACCGGCTGGGCTCTCTTTTACAGCCTTTATATCCTTTCCAATCTAGCTTTCATACGTGCAGTCTGCTTAAACCATTTAGGGTTTTAAAAAAATAATGAGAAGGTTGGACTTGTGACAGCCAGGCTGAAGATGCAGCCCCTAGAAATATCAGTAACATAGTTTCTGACGCGGATACATAGGGATGTGAACAAGAGCATATCGTTTAATTTTTTGATAATTTGCTCAGCATTTTTGCTCAGAGTCACAATATGGACTTCCTTCCTTCCTTCCTTCCCTCCTTCCCTCCTTCCTTCCCTCCCTCCCTCCCTCTTTCTCTCCTCCTCCTCCTCCTTCTCCTTCTCCTTCTTTCTCCTCCTCCCTCTTTTCTCTTTTTCTTTCCACGGAGTTTCGCTCTTGTTACCCAGGCTGGAGTGCAGTGATGTGATCTCGGCTCACTGCAACCTCTGCCTCCCAGGTTCAAGCAATTCTCCTGCCTCAGCCTCCCGAGTAGCTGGGATTATAGGCGCATGCCACCACACCCAGCTAATTTAGCATTTTTAGTAGAAATGGGTTTCTCCATGTTGGCCAGGCTGGTCTTGAACTCCAGACCTCAGAGGATCTGCCCGCCTCGGCCTCCTAAAGTGCTGGGATTACAGGCGTGAGTCATTGTGCCCAGCCACAAAATGGACATTTTTATGAGATTTGCTTTCAACTTTCTTCAGACTCTCCAGTGATTTCTGGATTTGGTATTTCAGTGAAGGTACTCATTTAGAAAAATGAAAATCATCAGAGCCTAAAAGATTTTCAGAGTTTTCAGGGATTTAAGGATTATGTAATATATCCATCTCCTCTATTGATGGGAAAATAAGTGCTAGAGAGAGACAGAGACAAAGCACAGAACAGTCGAGTCTGGCAAGCCGGAAGAAAGCTAGGTCTCCCGGATTGAGTCTCACGTGCTTTAGCTCTATGGTGGTTTTCCTCAGGTCACCTTCAGAGGGTCCTAAGAAGGGACATTTTATTGGTGCATGAAGTAAAAACAACACATACTCTAGTAATCAGGTATTTGCTTTATGATTTTCTGTGATCAGAAAATGCTTGCAGAAAATATGACGCGATGTGGATTTTTGTACAAGTGCGTGGGGTTCATGTGAAATTTTGTTGCCTATGTGTGAGCCTGGTATGGTTCTTTAACTCACGGAGGACTTGCATATGTGTTTTACTGTGCCAGGTAGAGGGAAGAAACAAGGGAGATACTGTATACTAAGTCCTTGCTTTTGTGAATCTACAGTTTGTGTGGCACAGAAATATATGAAACGGTTATCATGCAGAACCAAAACTGGGCTCTGATCATTTCAACAAAGTCCAGCCTTTTAACTACGTTTTAAGTGCAGGATGGTCTATTTAGAAAGGTGAAAGTTTATTCAAGAAGTTGAAAGTTGCAGTGCAGGCTGTGGGGACTACTATGGATTGTTTCTAGAAAGGTGGGAAGAGTATCATGCAAGAAGCAATGTGGATTAAAGAAACTGACAAAGCAGTCCAGGCGCGGTGGCTCACGCCTATAATCCCAGCACTTTGGGAGGCTGAGGCGGGTGGATCACGAGGTCAAGAGATCGAGACCATCCTGGTCAACATGGTGAAATCTCGTCTCTACTAAAAATACAAAAATTAGCTGGGCATGGTGGCGCAGCCTGTAGTTCGGGCTACTCGGGAGGCTGAGGCAGGAGAATTGCTTGAACCCAGAAGGCAGAGGTTGCGGTGAGCCGAGATCGTGCCATTGCACTCCAGTCTGGGTAACAACAGCGAAACTCCGTCTCAAAAAAAAAAAAAAAAAAACCAACCAAACTGACAAAGTAGAAGGTAAATCCAAAGAAGAATTAACTCTTAAAATAACAATAACAAAATATATTATAATAACAACTAATTTCTAGACCCTTAAAAACACTGTGGAAAACTTTAAGAAGTGGGTGGTCAGAGGAAAAGCCTTCTGTAGACTGTATTTTATTGGAGAAGATAAGAGTTACTGGTAAACTTCAGATCTTAAATTAAGGATACATGATGAAATTGAAGGTGACTCGGTGACCAAGATGAATGTTGAGTATACAGTTTTTTCAACATTGTGTCGCGTTTGGAATTTTTCATAATAAAATTGTTGGGAAAGAAATAAAGATAGCCTAAGACAATAGACAGACTGTCTATAGAAACAATGAAAGAAACCAGACTTTACAAGTTCTTCAATAAAATTTTACTGGTCAAAACAAACAAGAAGAAATAATCTATATAGCTTTCAAGCCAGTGGGGGTAGGAGGGAAGAAATGGAAACTGCTCGACCATTAAAACAGGAGTTGAGCAGAGTGGCTTATGGAAGCAAGGTGAAAAGAAGGTATGAATTAGTTATGGTAATAAACACTTTTAGATACATTAGGCACCATACCAAATGTAAGCAAATGAAATGCAGCAATTAATAAACAGAGATTCTCATTGAATGGAATCATTTTTAAAGTCCGGGTCTGTACTGATTCTAAAAGTCACAGTTTTAGATGAAGAACAGAGAATAGCAGAGAAAAGTTTAAATGCATTGAAATTGATACACCAGAAAATTCCTACTTAAATCAAAGCTGGACCAGGTACATTTGGTGTTACACAAAATAGACTCTGAGGCAAACAAAGCATAAGTCAAGATCGAGAAGATTATAAAGGTAGAAGGACTAATTTATCAGGACGCTAAATAATTGTGAACCTGTAAATGTGCTTAACATTGTATTAAATGGATATATAGGAAAAATAGACTATATTACAAAAACTTCATATGTACGATTTTAGTGAAGTAATTTAACGTACTTGCCTCAGTGAGTGATTAGTAGAACAAGATCAAAATAGAAGAAAGAAAATAT